CAGATGAGGGATGCTAATTGTGTGAGCAACGGGATGTGTCTGGTACGCGGCTTTCGTCGCGAAGCCGTTCGAAGGTTTAGTAGGTCTACTGACGACTTAGAGAATCCTCCTCTACTTGGTATCGAAAACTGGCTAGTCACTCACTTCTCCGTGTTTGGTTGTTGTTGTTTTTTTCGTTTCTCGTGTGACCTCCTCTGTTCTGGTTCATCCTTCCTTCGTCTGCCAGGCGATTTAGTGAGGCTCGGTCAGGGAGCGGTGGGCCTTTGCAATCGTTCAGGTCTTCGAGGCGCCCCCGCAACCTGCTAACTCCATAGGGGGGGCCACCACACACTTGAAGACAATGTTATAAGCAAGGCCTCGCAACTCCACAGCCGTCCATACGTGACTTTTGAACCTCCATAAGGGCCTCGAGAAATAGAGTCACAGCAGGCAGACGCTTGCAATATCTCCGTTTTTCAAAACGTTTGGACGCTCAGCCAGCCCAGACACTCGGTGCCTCGTAAGCTTACTGGAGGTTAGTAGGGAAGAAGGGAATGTATTACATAGTCAATATTATATACCGGCAGATTCCCTTATTCCTTACTAAGTCCCAGTAAGGTTTTTGAAGGCAGCTGTTGGATCCCAGTCAGGCTGCACTACATAGCCCAAGAAGCTGCTGACTCACCAGGAAGCTGCCCTTCATTCCTCCTTAATGGAGCTTTAAAATCTTCTCCAGCCCGGGGAGCTTGAAAGTGGTAGCAAGGTGTCAAGACTTGTCGCAGCTGTGATCTCCAATCACTTGCTGGTCATACCAGTGTTCTTGCTGCGAAGACTATGACCGATGCATGTGTGGCAGTCCCCTTGCAATCAAGCCCAATCGGCCTGTGATAGAGAATGCTCGACCTACAATACCGAACTGCGAACATGATGGCTTGTACTTTGTTGCGAGGTGATGTGCCATCACCACGTCGTCATCACAACACAGATTCTGTTTTTCAGGAGTCGCAATCATCATCGTGGGTAGCTTGCTATCAACCCTTTTCTAAACATGACTGCGTTGGCCCTTTGGGTTACTTACATATTTCCCGAATTAGTTTCATGAGGACTCTATATATACAAATCTTGTTCAAAGGGTTCCAAAGGCCAACCAAGATAACATAACACCTTCAGCCCTTCATCCCCTCCTAGTCCTGATATACCCCTAGCCCCAAGTGGCCCCAAGGACCCTCCTAAACCCCAAACCCCAAGAAGCCCCCTAAACCCCAAACCCTAAATTTCTACCAGGAACCTGGCATCCTGGACCCCAAACCCCAAGAATCCCCATCCTTTGCTTGAAGTTCTAAAGCTCGCTGCAGGCTACAGAAGCTAGATGCCACGCAGCAAGATCTCCTAAAGCAATCCCATGCGGCTTGGCTTTAGGTTTTCAGGTTTAGGGTTTAAGGCTGAAGGTTGAGGGTTCTGGGTTTAGGATTTAGGGCTTAGGATTTAGGGTTTAGGGTTTAGGATTTAGGGTTTAGGGTTTAGGATTAATATAATGTAGGGTTTAGGGCTCAGGATTTGGAATGATAGGGCTCAGGGTTTAGGGTTCAGGGTTGAGGGTTTAGGGTTTAAGGTTCAGGGTTGAGGGTTTCGGATTTAGGGTTCTGGGTTTAGGAGCTTGGGTCTCAAGGATGTTGAAGTTTGAGGCCGTTCACGCTGCGTTTCTGGAGAACGTTCTTTTTGTTGTGGTTTGTGAGTGTTGGTCGCCAATTCTTGGCTTAACGTGCTCATCCCATTCTTTAAGGTTTTCATCTACCCAAATGTTTGCTCTCTCTCTGGCTCTCTCTGTCTTTCCCCGGCCTGTGCTGCAGTTTCACTATCTGTTTCTTGTGTTGGTGGGCATGGGATACAGGGTGTCCTTTCATGGTTGGGGCGCTTTCTTGCTCTGCAGATCTCGGATGTTACATGAAAGCGGCGGTTCGGTTCGGTGCGGTTTCGGTTATTTCTAAAACGGTTCGGTTCGGTGTTTTTTTGCAAAATATCGGTTCGGTTCGGTTCGGTTCGGTTATTTATGTTGCATGTCGCGGTTCGATGCGGTTTCG